GCGCAACGCCGAGCGGTGTAGACCATGGAGGCCCTGTCGTTTCTGTCGACACCCCGAAACGCCAGGATGCCTCCCTCATATGTGACGTTGCCTGCAAAGTTTCTTTGGTTATTGGAACAGTTGGCTGTGACCTCGCGGCCAGAGAAGAGGCTGCAGGGTCAGAGGGGGGATTATCACTCCTGCCTAGCTTGGAGACTACTGAAAGTTGTGAAAAGGGTGTATCCAGTTCGGGCGGGAGCTGACCAGCTGGTGCCAGGGTTGCCGGAGCTTGGTGCGGCAGGGCCTGGGCTGCTCCCAAACTTTGAGCTTCAGATGGAGGACTGATGCCGCCTGATGTCTGCTGAGTCTGCTCAGGGTTACTGCTGTCCACTTCTGCTTGACTCTTTTGTGCCTGCTCTTCTCCCTCCCTACGATCAGAAAAGCTCGCCTGGCCTGTAGAGTGACCAGGAAGCGGAGGACGACCTCCATCAGGTGTTTTTGTCGCTTGGTCGCTTGTAGGGGCAGCGCTGTGCCTATTTTGGGGCTCCTGTTGTGCTCTAGACTCTCCTTTGGGAGGCTTTTGGGTCGTATATAGAGGATTTTTGAACCAAGTGCTGGGGTCAGTTAATTCGGCACGTAGCTCTTCGAGGGTCATCTGTGGTTTCTCGCGCAGATCCTCGGGATGTTTCACACGCAGGAGCCTCCCGTGCAGACGTGAGGCCTCAAATTGTAGCAGTAGATGACTCAAGTGCTTACTCATGAACACCTGAGAACGCCGGATGTAGACGATGCGCTTCATTTCCTCAGCAAATTCATGCGCTGCTTCCAGTGAAATTGCCTCGCCTGGGTGTTGTAAAGAATATGACTGCAGTGTTCCAAGGGCAGCTTGTATAAGTCTAGAAGCCGTTTCCTGAAGGTCCAGAAGTTCCCCCAACATCTTTAAACGATCCTCATTTGCGATCGGTGGGTTGTCAGGCCTTGCCCTACGTAGATCTTTTGCGTACTTCACGAGGCGTATTGCAAGGCGTTGTTGCGAGGCTGATTCGCGCCCTTGGCAACGAACATTTATCACACCCCAAGCTTCAGTTTCAGCCTTTTGAAGGATCTCCCGTTTGTGTGCCTCAAATTGTGTTCCAAGTAAGGCTGACAGAGCGGCGACTTCCTGAATGCAAAATCCCACGAAAAGATCGACCACCTTCAGAGAAAATGGCGACGGAAGGGAAAGAGCGACGATTGAACAATGTTCTGTCACCTGCATGAGTGCTCGTACCACGCCTTCAGCCCGTTGCTGCAACGCAAGTTCAATGCCATCACTGGCACCACGAGCTGGCTCTTCGCTTTCCCAGTAAGCTCCCCAGCACGGCGTTGCGGGCCTTCCCGCTTCTCGTTCAGCCAGTGACCTCAGAAGTGCTTTTGAATGCCTGTTACCAATGGTAACCTGACGATAACAACGGAGTAACACAAATGCCGCAGCAAGGGCAGCCACGAGGAGCAGGGTCCTCACTTGCACGTTCCCGTCCACCCTCCGGCGTGAAAGTTCTGTAGAGGAACGAGTTGCAGATACACCCGCCTGAGCACCCCATCTGCACCCAGCCACGACGCCATCTCTATTTTCCCATGCCGACGGGCCGGTGTTCAAGGGACCAAGAAGTGCATCTTTACAAGGAACCGAAGAAGATACCTGCGGTTGCCAATGCATAGCCGCACAGTAGCTAGCCTTGCCGTGAATTGGTGGACCTCCGAAGCAACAGCAAAATGGAAAATTTTGTAGGGAATGTATATACTAAGTTATTTCAAGGGGCCGGAGTAAAATTCATGAGTACGCCCCAATTTGTCGGAAGTGGCATATTCCTGGCGTACTCAGACCCCCGCACCTCAACAACTCCTGGAGATATGCGGATCTAAGATACTTAGAAATCCACTTTACCAAAAGGATAAATATGAGCAGGTAAAAGTGCCAGTTGTTGCCCAGTAGCTGATACTTTATGAACTCCTCTGCTAATGGCGGTCCAGGAGATCCCAGAGGAGGCCAGTCGATTAGATCCCCAGTCCGCTCTGCTAATACTGCTTTGCTTGGCGAAAGTGTCAATCGGGCACTCTATTATTGTCTGGATTATTGGTGCTGCATTCTTTTCCGGGCAATCTGCATAATTGTTATGCAGTATAATGAACGCGTTCAGTTCTCACGTTCTCGTCGAGCATGCGCGCTCCCCGTGTCGAGCCATACAAAGCGGGACGGACAGTGTCTGGAACGCTGCAGACTCAACTGGTCTGTTCCGTCTTTTTCTAAGACTATTTTTGGTGCAAAATATTAAGTGTCCGATTGCCCCCGGCGACCCTCCGTTGAAATTGTGCAGCAAGGCACACCATCGCTGTAGCATGGCCTGTTCACCATGCTCTCTCTAGCTGGCCGATATAATTCAGCTTATGCGCAGGCGGCTACCAAGTAATGGCCTCCTAAGTGTTACCCAGTTGTTTACAGTTCAAACTAACTCGTGAATGAAGGGTTTAATGGTTCAGGATTTTCAAGGAGGTGTGTTGTAACTACTTATGCTACGTGAAACGGAGTACGTGAAGTAGCTCGTGTGCAAAAAACTTTGGGCGGATTCTAGCAGATGCTTGCCGGAAGCCCACAGAGTCTAGCTTAAATCTAAAGGGGGAGAGAAAAATGCATAGTTGCTTAATGGAATTCAACTGGTAAGCATCCGGTGTTAATTCACCCTTGACTTGTTCTCAAATATTGCCGCAATTCCACTACAATTAGACTCACAAAGAGGTGCTTTACAACAAGATGCGTGAGCTTAATACTCCTGCATACGAGTAGCCCAACGCTTCCATTTTCACTCAGCGTCTCCCTCACCTACCAACGAACAGGCTTGGCACTGCACTCACAGAGTTCGTGCGTAGAAGCCGTCAGCTCCCTCGGTACGACTCTTGGGAGTTGGGAGTACCAGATACTTTCAGCTATGAATGCCCTGTTAGTGGCTGCTGCTGAGCGTTTGTCTTTGCACGCCGAATGCAGGATGGAATAGCGAAGGATGCTAAAACACATTTAATGGCACATGGCGTCTTCCTTCCTGCTTGTTGGTAAGCACTCAAGGCCGCGGCCCAGCTATGTGATTTTGGGTTCCGGCACATGCCCCATGTAGAGAAAAAATCCAAGTTGGCTCGCCAGAAGATGCTGCAATCGACACTCTCAAGTATCAAGTACGCACTGGATATCTGCAGTCATGTGCGTTTCTTTGAATTCCCACGCACTTGCATACGAACGAAATGGCACACTAGACAGGCATGCACTCACTCCCAATGGATTCCACGTGCACACCTGAGGTCACACTATCCCGCATGCACCGCCCTCCCCCTAACACACACACACACACACACACACACACACACACACACACGCTTGGAAGCTTGACCAAAATGACCCGCCAAATGAGGATGAAGCCTTTGATGTTGCTTGGTTGTAGTTTGAACCTTCCTCCATCGTTTTTCCGAGCGTTGTACACTGCATACGCCACAAGATGTTTCCTCGTATATAAAGCCCAGCGGGAATTCCAAAGTGACGAGAATACTGTTTTGTTTCGATACAGATGGTGCCCAGCCCTCTTCCCGGGAAATGTAACAATCTGCAGCTGCATAAGCAGAGAAGGCCATTGAAGCCTAGCCGGGCAGCGAATCGTGAGAAGGCTTGATATCTCAACTCCTTCAGCGCATTCCAATGGATGCAGAGCAACACAGCATAGCTACCGAAGTGCCTGATTCTCCCAAGAGACATGCGAATGCGCAGATTCCTCAAAAGAGCCATATGCTATCGGTGCACACGGCTGATGACTCTTCATCCACACAACCCCTCCTCCCACCCCCCCAAACGGTCCTCGAGCAAAACATACAGACATAAATAAATTGCCCACAGAGCTCTCAGAGTCGCCGTCGAGCCAGGCTGAATCCCTAAGATCGTCTTGTTCAATTCTTGCCTTAGCATTTGTTCAAATGCAGGCAGAGCTGACCGCAGTTTCGAATTGCCTTCTCTCCGTCCTCCCTGCGTCATTTATTGTCCCACTGAATGAAGGCTTCCAATTGTCCCCTCGTAATCTGAGGAGTTGGACATACATACAGACTAAATTGTCTGCTCCCTTGTTAGCAGAGGCGCAGCGGCTGGGTAGGAAGAGATAGGCGAGGACCTCGAATGGTCACGGGCCATGCTCTGCATACGCACCGGGGGGCCCTGAGACCGTAGAGAGTAGAGAATCTCAGTAGCCTCCGAGACAATTGACTGCGGTGTTGTAAATGGAAACGGCGATGGTGGAGGAACAGGAGGAAACACAAGTCTCCACTGCGAATGAACCATACTTGAGGGGCGCTGACGTGAATTGATTCCTTGTAGGGGCGCAGCCGTGTATGGTGCTGTTGCGAAAGTTAAGTAAGGATTCGAAACCTGAGGCAAATGGGAAGCGCGTTGCGGCTGCGGTGTAGACCATGGAGGCCCTGTCGTTTCTGTCGACACCCCGAAACGCCAGGATGCCTCCCTCATATGTGACGTTGCCTGCAAAGTTTCTTTGGTTATTGGAACAGTTGGCTGTGACCTCGCGGCCAGAGAAGAGGCTGCAGGGTCAGAGGGGGGATTATCACTCCTGCCTAGCTTGGAGACTACTGAAAGTTGTGAAAAGGGTGTATCCAGTTCGGGC